AAGCTGCCGTTCTGCTTCATTTCATATTCCTAGCCCAAATTTTCCAATGACATTTGATTCTACTTTGCTTTCTATTTCTGTGATCAATTTCTTCCTGGACACTTGCATTTCAACATTGGTAGTTGGGGTATAATCTTGAATGATGATTATGTTGATAAACTTTCCATGCAGTCTGAATGATATTATTTGGTCAGACTTTGCATTATAGCCCCTGAATAATCATTCTACATCTCACCTCACTATTAGAGCAATTCCATTTTTTCCTGTATTTCCAGAGTAAAATACTTTGTAATTTTCTTACTTAAAATGTCCTAATCCAGCCCAGTTTAGTCCACTCACTCCCAGGATTGCAATGTTTAAATGCTTCATTTCTCATTTTACAATTTTGAGTTTACCTTGATTCATAGTTCTTAATACATCTGATATTCCTATTATATGTGTCAAACAGTTTTGGGATTTCCTTTTGCATGCCTTCATGTCAGCAACTGAATGTCATTTGGGCTTTAATCCAGGTGCATCTTTTAGAATAGCACTATTTATGTTTGTTCTCTACTCTTCCCCAGGAGCAAATTGGGTGCCATCTGACCTGTGGGTCCTGTTTTCCAGCACTATATCTTCTTTCATTTTTGGTTGTACCATCATAGGCTTTTCAGGGTATGAGATGATCAGAAGTGGTTTATCATTGCCTTCTGCGTAGTACTAACCAGGGTTAGTTGAAATGTCACTGCCATTATCTATTTTAGATCCTCCACCAGTGTCACATTCCATTATTGCTGCTGCCCAATAGCTTCCCTTCAAAGATCCCTCTACCCTCTCCATTCTCTTCTGCTGATGTGGCCATTAATTCCTGCAGAGGGTGGATGCATCTTAATCTGGAATCTCAGTTTACACCATTCTGCCTTGCGTGACTCTGCTAGGACTTTAGCTTCTTGACAGAGTGTAAACTCCTTACAGTATCATTCTCAGCTTCATGAACACACTCAACCTCCCTCACCACATTAAGTGGTACGTCCAAGAGGGGGAGGCAGAGAAGGTACCCACAGCAAAGATCTTTGTACACTTAGAGGAATTCTCAGATTGGCAGAAAAGTCTAGCTTTGTAAAGGAACCCAAAGGGAAAAGAAAACAAAGCACCACAGAAACTAACCTGATGAAGATTAAAAATGCTGCAGACCGGACAGAATGTTGAGATCAGCTGAGTTGGGAGGAGAAATTAGCTTTCTTAAGCTCCAGAGTTCACAGAGGTCCTGAAGGGAACCTTTTGAGTGGATTTTACAAATTATCCTTCACATAGGGTTGCCAAACTCCCAGAATTACTGCTGATCTCCAGACTACAGAGATAATATTTTCATGGAGAAAAGGGCTGCTTTGGATAGTGTACTCTATGGCATTATACTTAATCCCCTCCCCAGACCCCTCTTCCTCCAGCTCCACCCCCATTAATTTCCCAGCCTGGAGTTGGCAACCCTACCCCACACAAGTCTTCCATTGAGTTTTAATACCATTAATTATCTCTGCAGGGGGGGGGACGACATGGTGTTCTTTTCTATCATTCAGGCACCAGTCCTAACTATAGGATCACTTTTCCCAACCAGTTTTTCATAGTTGGTATCCCAGTGGATATATTCTGCAGTGTTCCCTCTAAGCTCCACAGTGTTGTGAGAAGAAATTCTACCCAGTGTGAGCAAGTCTATATTTGATTATTATGTAAATTATTTTAGAAGATTATTTTCATAATCCTTTAAAAATCTCAGAATGAATTCTTTTAAACTATATTTTAAGAATAATTTAAACATTATAAGAGAAAACAGAATCAAGTCAAATTTCATTACACAAAATGTTGTCCTTTATAGGGGTAGACCAAGCCTCCAGAGAACAGGTCTACCTGCCCCTGCCTAACCTAACAAACAGGAAGTTGCTGAAATATTACCAACCTGCCCAAACTACTTATTTATTCAGATATTTTTATCCCACTTTCCCCCTATGACTCAAGGCAGCTTACAAATCATACTGAAAAGCATAATGGGGTGTGCCAAAAAAATCATTTTTTTCTGTTTCAGTTATAGCCTATGGGGAGCATTATAGTCAATGGGCCCCATAGGCTATGATGGAGAATTGATCCAGGAGTATCTGGGGCTCTGGGGTGGGCTGTTTTTTTTGAAGCAGAGGCACCAAATTTGCAGCAGAGCTGCTGATGCCTCTCCTCAACACCCCCTCCCCCAAGTTTCAAAAAGATTGGACTCTATGGGCCCCAGAAGGAGGTGCCCCCATCCTCCATTGTTTCCTATGGAAGCTGGCCTCTGAAATGTTTAGGGTTCCCAAATCCCCCCCGGGGGTGGATTTCCCCCCGCTTTCAAGGCCTGACTTCCGCCCTGCGCGGAATCGGGCCCGGGGGAAACCCCACCCCCGCGCGCGCGTCACCCGGAAATGACGTCGCACGCTGGGGGCGGGGCCACGCCATTTGAGGGGAAAACAAAGAAGTTTTTTTTATAACTAATTCATAATCATGTAATTAAGTTCATAAACTTTTTAAAAAGAGAGAACCAGTCAGCTCTGAGAGAACATGAAATAATTAGGGTGAAAGCAGAAGAACAAACAAAACAAAAAAGGATCCTGCAGCGGCACAAAACGTATGGAACCAGTTTTCCCTTTTTTTAAAAAAACACCACACCACTCTTTAAATTAGATATTGCACCAGTAAGATCTGGATCTAAGTAGAATTACTGGATTTGTGGAGAATGTGTATATTTTGTCGAAGGCTTTCACACCCGGAGTTCATTAGTTGTAGATTTTCTGGGCTGTATGGCTGTGGTCTTGTAGGACCTGATGTTTTGCCAGCAGCTGTGACTGGCATCCTCAGAGGTATAACACAGAAAGATGGAGTACTCTCTGTGTCAAGGTGAGAAGAAAAATGGTAGGCAGGTAATTTATATCTACTCAGGAAGGTGGGGTAGGGCTGAGTCATTATCTTGTAGGAGTTCCCCAGACTGTGACATGCTAATGGAGGAGCTTTTCTGGGGAGGTTCTTTTGCATATGGATTGGCTGTTGAAATTCTAATTTATCTGTTGTGCTGTTGTAAGATGTGGAACATTTTATGTTTTTCAGGTCAGGAAACCATGCCCTATTTATTTTTAAACTCTCTTCTTTCCTGTTGAAATTATGTTTATGTTTATGAATTTCAATGGCTTCCCCGTGTGATTTGAAAAAACAAACATGAATTTGAAAAAACAAACAATCAAAAAACATGAAAGACACTGCAGACTGGGCCATCCTGAAAAACCAGCAGTGGCTGAACATAGCCTCACTCAAACAGGACACAGTATCTTCTTCCAAGACACTGAAAGGCTGGATAACTCATCCAATTACCATGTCAGATTACACAGGGAAGCCATTGACTCCTAGCAGGCTGTCGCTTCTCCAACAAGATTTAGTCACATTAACATCAAGAGGAGCATCTGGAGGAAGGAGGCCTCCAACCCAGTCATGTGCTGTTATTGCTAGACTTGACAGCGTCGTTTGACACAGTCAATCATGATGCTGGCTCACTGCCTCACTGACATGGGAGTTCGTGGGACAGCCCTGAAGTGGGTTGTCTCCTTTCTCCATGGTTGGGGACAGAGAGTGGTCCTGGGAGAGAGGATCTCCCCCCAATACCCCGTGGTATGCAGGGTCCCCCAAGGAGCCATCCTCTCCCTGATGTTATTTAACATCTATATGGGTCCTCTCACCCAGCTTGTGCAGAATGTCATGCTAGGGTGCCATGCTGATGACACTCAGCTATACCTGTTGGTGGACAGACAAATGGACACCACCCTAGGAAACCTAGCTGAGGGTTTGGATGCTGTGGTGAGGTGGCTAAAAGAGAGCTGGCTGAGACTAAATCCAGAGAAGACGGAGGTTCTCTGGCTGGGTGGGGAGATTCAGGACTTGGGTGCCAACTACTAGTTCTTGTCCATGTGCCATTAACACCAGTGCAAAAGGTCAAGAACTTGGGTGTGTTTCTGGATGCCTTCTTATCAATGGAAGCCCAGATCGCACGTTGTCAGACTGGCGTTTTCCAACTACGCCAGAGCAGCAGCTGGTCCCTTACCTGTCTTGCTCCCTCCTGGCTACTGTAATCCATGCAACAGTCACCTCTAGGCTTGATTACTGTAACTTACTCTACGTAGGGCTGCCCTTGAGACTGATCTGGAAATTACAACTGGTCCAAAATGCAGTGTGGCCTGGATCCTTACAGGGACTCCATTAACCGCACACATTCAACCTGTGCTGCACTGAATGCACTGGCTCCAGATTGAGTACTGGGTCAGGTCCAAGGTTTTGTTTTTAACCTTCAGGGTCCTAAACAGTCAGGGACCAACGTACCTGCAGGACTGCCTTTCCTGGTATGTGCCTCAGAAAGTGTTGCACTCAGGAGAACAACATCTGCTGGAAGTCTCTGGCCCAAAGAATGTCTGGCTGTCCTCAGTCAGAGACAGGGACTTCTCAGCCCTGGCTCTGACTTGGTGGAACTCTTTGCTGAATAACATCAGGGTCCTGTGGGACCTGTTACAGTTCCACAGAGCCTGTAAGGCAGAGATGTTCTGCCAAGCATATGGCTGAGGACAGCAACAGGGTTTTAACAGCAAACTGACCAACTGACTACCTCTCACCTTTCTCCCCCACCAACAGGGTGCAAATTCATAATATGATGTCATATAGGTCTATACTCTGTATATTAGTGGTTGTTTTTAAAATCTTTGTATTTATTTATATATATAAATTGATGAACTGTTTACATCATTCTGTTGTCTTCCTCTCTGAGCCCACTTCATGGGGTAGTATAAAAGGGCAGTATAAAAGTTTCAACAACAACAACAATTACCAAGATTGCTGAGCATCACAGGAGCTGTCATTATGAAGATGCTGTCCCATTCTGATTTTTTGTCTAATTCAATATAGCAATGACAGTTTGGGGATGAAATGATACTGTTTTTTTTCACTATCTGCTTGTGTTCTAGAGCCAGATGTCAAATCTGCAAGTACTATACTTGGATCTGATGAAGAATTAGAAAAAGAGGAGGAAGAGGAGGAAATGGCTGAAGAGAAGGAACCCTCAGTTTCTTCATCTCTGTTACTAGAACTAGGTGAAGCAGTAAAAGATATCCCACCTCCCTTTCTGGAACCCTTGTGGTCTTATGGATGTTATCTGACTAAAGGCAACAGTGTGAGTTGCATGGCTTGGAACAAATTGAACCCTGTAAGTGTCCCTTAATCACTTACTTAACTGTACATCTGTCAAAGTCAAAATTATATACAACTTTACAACCAAAAATTTCCAAGACGAAGCAGGGGGGCATATGCAAGGAAGCCCATCTTTAGGGAGAAACTGAATTTGGCGTGGAATTAACCCGTGGTATCTGACTCCTACTGAGCCACATAAAATTTGCCCACAGTCCATCCCTAAATGCTAGAAGAAGTACAACCAAATAGGTACTTTCTTCCATGCATTGTAGAAATGCCCAGTAGCCCAAACATACAGGGATATGTTTTTCCTAAATGTAGCTCAGTCTTAAAGTACTTCGCTGAACTCAGCCTGATCCTGCTATAGTTTATGGATCAAACCATTCTCTCTGTCCACACACACACCTGCCAACTATTAGTAGCCAAAATTTCTTGGGTGAACAAGTAGAAAAACCAGCCCCCTCTCATATACAAAGAATGGATTGAAGGTGGAAAATGATGATAGTCTATAAATTAACTTGTCATATATGGGCAGCAAAATCCAGTGATCAACTAGCTACCAGTGTTCCCTCTAAGCTGAGTTAGTGTGAGCTACAAGTTGTTAGCCTCCAGCTCACACATTTTTGTCTTAGTTCAGGAAGGATGGCTCCAGAGCAAGTAGCCAAATCGCTCACTCACAATGCCAGTAGCTCACAAAGCAGAAATTTCGCTCACAAGACTCCACATCTTAGAGGGAGCACTGCTAGCCACTGAATATTCTTTGCGGTCACCGGATCACCTTTCTCAGGAATTCTGACACAGTGGGGGAATGAAACTGTATGCCTCAACAAGACAAGTGTCATGTTTGTTCAGGAAACATTTGAAATTTTGCTATGAGCAGCGATCTTGAACTTCTGTATTCTGTTTAGATAAACATTTGATCAGACTTATTTGATCCATTTGTTTCTACACACCGTATTTCTCACAACTGTTGCACACTCTATGTTTTCCCTCTCTCTCTTTCCAACTTCCCCTCCTCTTCTTCCTTCTCTGGTCCCAATTTCAAATAACTTTGTATTATGAATAGACACTCCAATATGAAATTTCACTCACATAATGATTTGCTGTTAACAATTACAATGAAAATAATGTTTGTCTGCTCTTTTAAAAAAGAAATGACCAAGAGAAGGAAAGTAGCTTGTGTTTGTTCTGTCTCCAAAGAAAGTCCATCTGCAGGATTCCCAGTAATTTGGAGACTTCTGTCAGGAATAATTTAGCTTCCCTCTGGTACCCATGACACCATAACAAACACAACAGGACCACGGTGTATGAGATAGTAAAGATTCAAAAACAAACCAGACCAGAAAAAATCCAATTCATGTAATATGTCAAAAGATAGTAAACAATGACTTGACTTGACGAGCAACCCGGTTAAGCCCATTTCACATGTCATCTTCTTCAAAAGTTGAAAACTTCATTGGTGTCTTCTGTACTTTCTATTTCTACTACTGCTATAGTTTAGAACCTATATCCACAATCAAATTTTACAAGGGAAAGCCAGTCCTTTTTCTTTGGTGCAGTTGGCAAAAAGGTTCTTGGAGACGTGTGAAACGGTGATGTTGTATTTCCATGTAACATAGCGATTTGTAATTAGCACTTTATCCACATTGTTGGGTACATATAAGTGTGAAGTGAGTTTTCTGGTGTGGAGATTATCCTGCTGTATGTATTGTGTGTATGCTAATTGAGCTGAACTGTGTCAACAGAAAAATGAGTCAAATATAGTCTTAGTTGGTAAATTTTATTTTGTACATTTAGTTGTTTGACCTTGAACACAGTGTTTTTTTCTATATTTATGACCCATTAAACCAGGCAGAAAAATACTGTTCAAAAGAGACAGAGTACAAAACAGTGCCAGCAGTGTTTTTCCAACACACACAGTAACCAGCAACAACACGGTGGTGTCTCATAAGAAGCTATTCTTGTCCTTAGGACTGCGTACACAGCATTGAATGAAACTTGAATGAGTCCAGTTCAGTTAATTTCTTGTGCTGTCTTTCTTCATTTAGCTCTCTTGATACTCTGCTGATCTCCCTACTTCTTTCCTTCCAATAGCACATAGGACTTGTAGAGTTTTTCCAGAGCCTCATTTTTTATTCATTTCTTCACTCTCTAGCACTATCCTCAGTTTCTGTCCTTCTTTTCAACAGGCCTCCATCCTTTCCTCAAATTTCTGCTGATTCTTTCTTGAAAATTAATCTGCCTCTGGGCTTGATTCCTTAATTTCCAGCACGACATCTATTTCCCCTCAGTCTTTCCTCATGCTGCCCATTTTGGGTTTCTCCCCCACAAAAGGGTTTTCTAGCCAAATCAGCTTTGCATTTTGCACATATAAAATGTAAACACTACCTTTGTAAACACTCTGTTGTTTCAGTTCCTTAATAGCTAGAATGTCTGAGATGGTTGCATGACATAACAGCAATTTTAACCAATCACTGCCAAATGTTTTACCACCACCACCAAATAAATTCCTTTAAAACAGAGAAAGTAGCAGAACACATGGGAAGAACTAAAGGGGAAAGGCCTAGCTGTAAAGATGACAGTAGGTATAATTTTTATTTTTATTTTAAAAAGCAGTGATCTGAACCTTACCAACAGGTCAAAGCCCTGTGCTCTATGCTTATAGTTCTCTCCCCCCCTTAATTAAATCCAAGAGGACTCAAAGGCTGTGACTATTTCAATAGATGGTTGTTGTTTAGCAGTATAATCATTTGTGTAACTGATTTTTAGGACCTTTTGGCTGTTGGTTATGGGACATTCCGTTTTAAAGAGCAGAAGACAGGCTTGGCTTGCTGCTGGTCACTGAAGAACCCAATGGTAGAGTATATAATATTTTGTGTCCTCCTCCTGCTAGACATTTTAACCCAAGTAGTGATCTTCACTGTAAGATTTTGCAATGATTTAGTAGGAGAGTTCACTTTTACTCTTGAATTCCTGAGGACCACCTCTGCTTTAACCATAATTTATAAATCAGCCTCTATCTGTGCCCTGGGAAGCATCATTAGCTTCCTCTGTATCTAGAACCAGCATATGTCATACTTCACAGGTAGGAGGAATCATGTGAATCAAAATATAGGATTCAAAAGACAATTATTTTTTATTGCATGAAAGCAATGTCCATATTTTCAAAACTGCCCTGTGACGTATGCAGAATGGATGCAGTGCATTTAAGTATCCTTCAGCTCCACACATGTGCTGTCACACCAAATGCACCCGCAGAACAGTGTAGACCAGTGCCATCACCATGCATGTCTCATTAATGGCTGGATCTCCACATAGCAATGCATGTGTGTATTTAGAACAAGTTAGTGAATGGCACAGACATGGCACAACAATTTCAGCATTGCCTTCATGCATGAGTAAAAACCTCATGTATGTGCACTAACAGCAAAAGCAGCTTATGTGAAATGTTGTCCTTGTTTTGCATCTCGTAATTCTGGGAGCTGGCTAAAAGGATAACATTCTTGCCAGTTGGCAAAAACATGAAGGAAAAAATACCAGCTATTAGAAAGGTTTAGTATGCAGGGGTCTACCTTAGCGATTAAATTGTGGGGGAGGGAGGAGTGTTATGGACACCCTCAATTAATCCTGGCCAAATAATGCCACGCTATAACCTTCTGAAACAAGAACTATGGGGTCCATTAGAAGAAGGAGCTCTGCCTCCTGTAATATGAGCACTGGTCTGCTCTTAGTCTGCCTCAATGGTTTATTCTGATTTATGTGCAGTTTCAAGGATGAGTCACATTCAGAAAGGAAGCGTTCTCATGCTATATGTATAGCTATGACTCATGCAATACAGTATTTGAAAGAAACAGGAGAAATTATTAGGAAAAGTGTTTGTTTTTGGCTACTATGTGATGGCCAGGGCAGTGTTTCAGGGTACCTGGGCTTCACCGTGTATGATGTGGAAATGCTTTCTTGGTTAAAGCTGCCTTCTCTTTTCTTTTGTTCAGTGGCCAGAGCGCATCTATAAGTGCAGTTATGGGGTAACTGCCTTGGATTTTTCTGTTGCTAACCCAAACCTCCTAGCAGTTGGGATGTTCAATGGGACAATTGCAGTCTACAATGTTCAGACCCATCTTTCTACTTCAGTTTTAGATACCAGGTATGATCAAATATGTATTGCTGGGCCATCTCCATAGCTTCTTTGGGCATTACAATGTTACATTTGTAAACAGAAGATGTTTGGGTATAGAAGATATATATTGGTTGAATGTGGGGAGATAAGTAGGACAACTTTCCTGATACTGGTTCTTTTCCTGCAGATACGGGACTTTGACTGCTAAGGTATTGTGTAATGGCTTTCTCCATCACTGAAGGAGAGATTCTTTCCCCGTTGATTCCAGATGTGGGATTTTTCAAAACAGCTATTCTTGCTGTTGGAAGTCTTCAGATTCCAGGCACATAGGGTCAAGTGTAAAGCTTTGGCGAAACAGCCCACAGAGTAGATTGATTATTCTATCTTCCCCAAACTTAGATTTTAGTTAGAAAACCCTAACCCTAACCCTAGATAGAAACAATAACAAATAACAGTATGGATGTAGCCAATTAATATCTCTTCAAAGTTCTGTTTCTTATCCCCTCGTCCTAAACATATCTAGATGTATATAAAAGGCTAGCCGTGATCCTGACGACTCACCTTCTAACAGATTGGGCCAGCCTTTCAAGGTCATTTGCATATGCAGGCTGATTGGGCCTTGCTCCATGCCAGACATCATTCTCCCCCCCCCCATAGCCAGTCGGAACACAGAGGTCGTTTGCATATGCAGCCTGATTGGCCCTCTCCTCCAACATTCTAAAAAGTTTGCTTTTGCTGTTGCTGTTGGGAGTCATTGAACATGTCCTGAGGTAAAATACATCTCCTAATCTTCCCCTAAATGTTAACTTGGGTTACCAGTTTCCCTGTGGGGCCTGGAGATCTCCCAGAAATCACTGCACCCCAGCCACAGCACATATTTCCTCTACAGAAATTTCCCACCTATTACAACTGATATCCAGATGACTGAGATCAGTTCTCCTGAAGATAATGGCTACTTTGGGCAGTGGATTCTATGGCATTATACCCTGCTGAGGTCCCTCCCCACCCCAAACCCTGCTCTCCCCAAGCTCTACCCCTCAAATCTACAGGTATTTCCCAACCCAGTGTTGGCAACCCTGTAACTGGCTACGGAACCACTTTCCAGACTCTTGGAACCCAGAAAACATGGCATAGGAGAAGGTGCTTTTCTACCTTAGCTGCCACTGCATACCCCCAAATTAACATAAATCAGGGGTGGAGGGAACCATACCTGTTACCATGCGGCTCTCCTCCCATACTACCCACTTGGGGTAGCAAAATGACTTGAGACAGCCCTGCCTTATAGCTAAGGCAGAAGGAAATAAACATGGCTCACCTCCCTCTATTTTCTCCTTCCCTCCACCACCCCACCAGACACAGTCAGGACACTCACCTGGAGTTTCTTTCTAGAGCTTGTTATATTTCTTTCCACAATGGGCCTTACTCCTAGTTTTCTAATAGTGTGACGATAGTATAAGTCTTTAAATATTACAACACACTGAAGGTTCTAAATGGAGTACTGACAGTTGTCAGTTGAGCAAGAGCAGTTAGAACTGCTAGAGAGGTAGACATAAAAGCATCTTGTGTATGGTGTTAATAAGCTACCTTTCATACAACACTGAAGGTAACACAAGTAGCACTGATTATGAGGGACATACATCCAAGGTCAAAACTGCTGCTGAAGTCTTTAGTTGATTTCCTTCCCCACTCTCCATTAACTGTCCTTCTAAAATGTAATCACTGATGAACAGAAGTGTTGGTGAGTCAAGGCCAGTGCCCCATCTAGAACTCTCTTTTTGGCAGTAGCTTAGCCATCCAGATACTGAGAGAAAACTCACAAGTAAAGGATAATGAAGATGGCTATGAGTTGCTTGTCCTCTGACTGTATAACCTGTGGTCTGTGTATCTGAAGGTTGCTCTTTGAATGGAACAGTGTCAGGTGTATGTTCTGAAGAAGTGACTAGTGACTCACAAAAACTCATATTCTGCCACAAAATGTGTTAGTCTTTAAGGTGCTACAGGACTATTGCTCTTTTCTACTGCTACAGACAGACAAACATGGCTACCCATCTTGATCTAGGTATATGTTCGTAAGCTTATATGCTGAGGTTTCTTGTATGCTGCTTTCCCTTCAAGTACATTTACCCCTTCACAGTATTATTTAGTTTAAAAGGTCTGTGCTGCCTCTCCAGAGAACATTAGCGAGCAGCTTCCAAAGTAAAACATTATACATATAAAATGCATAATGTTATTGAAATTAACAAAATATTAGAAACTAAGCATTTAAAACTCTTCTAAAGCATAATGCTGCTAATGCCCGCCATCTTGATACAAACTGTACCAGCACTTTATATTATACTAGGAATGAGGCCCATTGTGGAAATAAATACAACGAGATCTAGAAAGAGGCTCTGGGAGAGTGCCCTGGCCTTGGGCACTCAATGTCAATTTGCTGTGGCGACCTCAGCAGAGTATAATGACACAGAGTCCACCATTTTCTCCAGAGGAACTGATCTCCTCTACCTGAAGAGCAGTTGTAATTTTGAGTGATCTCCAGCCCTCCCCTGGAGATTGGCAATAATGGTTCCCCAGGAGGAAATGGCTGGTTTGGAGGGTGGAGTCTATGGCATTGTACCTGTCTGAGATCCAACCCCTCTCCAGGCTCTACCCCTCAAATATCCAGGAATTTCCCAAGCATGAGTTGGCAACCCTATCTCCTTCCCAGCCAACCATCAACCTACTGCTATCTGCCCCTCTGACTTCAGCTTTCCATCTCCTCCCTCCTCCCTCCTGGAGAACAGTTGTAATTCTGAGTGATCTCCAAGCCCTCACCTGGAGATTGGCAACAATGCTTCCCCAGGAGGGAATGGCTGGTTTGGAGGGTGGAGTGTATGGCATTGTACCTATCTGAGGTCCCACCCCTCCTCAAACCTCACCCTCTCCAGGCTCCATTTTCCTCCCCTGCAGCCTCTACCGTGCTCTGAAGTCCTGACTACTACATCACACTGGCTGTCATAGGGGATCCATTTTAGCAGGATATAAGGACACAGCATCCACCATTTTCTCCAGGGGAACTGATCTCTGCCACCTGGAGAGCAGTTGTAATTCTGAGTGATCTCCAGCTCTCACCTGGAGATTGACAACAATAGTTCCCCAGGAGGAAAAGTACAGTCTTTCTCTGCAATGGGAATCAAAGTAGCTTACATCATTCTCCTCTCCCCCTTTTGATCTGCACAACAACCCTGTGAGGTAGGTTAGGCTGTGACTGGTTCAAAATCACCCACTCAGCTTCCACGCAGACCCTGCTCTGAAGCACCAACTGTTCCGCCATATTGGCTGCAGTATCACCTGGTATCACAACTGAACTCCAGACAACAGATCTCTTTCTCCCCCTCGCTGTAACCACGAACTGCCCCGCCATATTGGCTGCAGTATCACCTGGTATCACAACTGAACTCCAGACAACAGATCTCTTTCTCCCCCTCGAGAAAATAACTGCTTTGGAGGGTGAACTCTATGGCATTCTGTTCAGCTGAGGCTGCTCCCCTCCCTAAACTCTGGCTTCCGTAGACTCTATCATAAAATCTCCAGGAATTTCCCAACCTGGAGCTGGCAACCCTAGTCAGGATGGGCCCCAATTAGTTTTCTCCTAAAGACCAAAATATGTGTAGAAAGGGTCCCCCCCCCCGCCTTTTACTGACAGAACCAAGCTTGGTTGCATAGCAACAGGCACTGAGTAGGGTTGCCAGCTCTGAGTAGGAAATACCTGGAGATTTGGGGGTGGATCCTGTGGAGGGCAGTGTTTGGGGAGGGGAAGGACTCAGCAGGGTATAATGCCATAGGGTCTACCCTCCAAAGCAGCCATTTTCTCCAGGGGAACTGATCTCTGAACTGAGAGCCAGTTTGGTGTAGTGGTTAAGTGTGCGGACTCTAATCTGGGAGAACCGGGTTTGATTCCCCACTCCTCCACTTGCACCTGCTGATGTGACCTTGGGTCAGTCACAAGCTCTGGCACAGCTGTCCTTGAAAAAGAGCAGTTTGTGTCAGAGTTCTCTCAGCCCCACCCACCTCACAGGGTGTCTGTTGTGGGGAGGGGAAGGGAAAGGAGATTGTCAGCCGCTCTGAGACTCCAAGTGAAGGGCAGGATATAAATCCAATCTCTTCTTCTCTCTTCTTCTCTGTCATCTGGAGATCAATTATAACAGTGGGAGATCTCCAGGTCCCATCTGGAGATTGGCAACCCTAGGGGAAAGTCAGCCACACAGCAGGGGGTTGAAGAGAATGGTTTGACGGCTGCTGGCCCACGTCAGTAGCCAGCCAGCAATGGTGGAGCCAAGCAGGAGAGACAGCCATTTTCACAGTTTATTCTGACAGGAAAGTGGCCAAGCTGGCAGTGGGTGGGGGAGAGGGTTATGCTGAAAGTCTGTGAGTGGTCTAAAATCACCCACTCAGCTTCCACAGCCTGGGTCTGGCAGACCCTGCTCTGAAGTGCTAACTGCTACGCCACAGTGGCTGTGGTATTGGCTGGTATCACAACTGAACTCCAGACAATAGATATATCTCTCCCCCTGAAGCAAATAACTGCTTTGGAGGCATTCTATTCAGCTGAGGCCTCTCGCCTCCCCAAACCCTGGCTTCCATAGACGTCAGCACAAAATCTCCAGGAATTTCCCAGCCTGGAGCTGGCAACCCTAGTCAGGACTGGCCCCAATGAGTTCCCCACAAAGGCCTGGAAAGGGCTTCATTGCTTTGCCTTTTTACTGACAGAACTAAGCTTTGTTGCCTAGCAACAGCCGCTGAGGGAGAAGTTAGTCCTACAGGGGAGCCAAGCAGGAGAAGTGTCTTTGTCAGGGGAGACAGCCATTTGGCAGTTATTCTGACAGGGAACAGTGGCTGAGGTGGCAGTGGGCAGGGAAGAGGAGCAGACCCAGCCCCCAGCCAATAACATGCAATTACTCTTGAGTGGTGGTTGATGGGCCAATGGCTGATGGAGAGTACAGCACAGCCAATGGGAGAGCTGGAAATGGCCAATGCGTCAAGATATATATATATATATAATATTATGTTATATTTTATAATTGTATTGTTATGATATTACTCAATTTTGTTTTAGCTGTTTTATATACTTTATGTAAGCCGATCTGAGCCTGCCTTTGCTGGGAGGGTGGGATATAAATGTAAATAAATAAAAACAGCATAAAGACGTTCACAACAATGTGTATAAAACCATTCCCAGGCTAGAAGTAGATTGTAAAATAATTTTAAAATATTGATCTCTTAATTAAAAGCCTGGGTTAAAAAAGAATGATTTTAGCCTGGCACCTAAAAGAGTGTGTGTGTGGGGGGGTGCCAGGTGTGCCTCAAGTGAAAGGCAAATCCACAGGCAAAGTGTCACTTCTGGAAAAGCCTTGTGTCTGATTACCACTTGACTCATCTCTGCAGGCAGGGGCACAGTGAACAGGGCATAGAAGGCAGATCTTAGTTGGTGGGCTGGACAATACTATTATGTTTTATGGTGTGCATGCAGTAGTTATGTTTTGTGTGATTCTATTTCTACAGTGAATCTTTTGACAAACACTTAGGCCCAGTGTGGCAGCTGAAGTGGGTAGAGCAGGACAGGGGTACCACAGGAGAAGACAAAGGAGAGATATTAGTATCCATATCAGCTGATGGCAGAGTAACTAAATGGTTTATTCGAAAAGGTCTAGGCTGCACGGGTAAGTGTGGTCTTCTTACATAAAACATCCTACAATAGTCATTTGGGGTGATAACTGAGGGGCAGATGAAGACACTAAAAATACAGAATTAGACGCATGGGGTTTGATCCAGCAGAGTGGCTGTGGCATGCGTGTGATGTCTGAGTAGTACAGTCCTTGTGATAATGGGCTCATCCTGGGCCTCAGTACTTGCCTAGGGTTACCAGATGTCCTCTTTTTGGAGCACATGTCCTCTTTTTTTGGTATCCACCCTCTTCTGGGCTCTTTAAAAAAAACTGATCAAAATGTCCTCTTTTGGGGTTGGAAGGTCATGAAGATTCCTAGTTAGTAGCAATTATCACAGCTTAAATGGTAGGGGTATTTAAATGAGATTTTTGTCACAGGAATCACTTGTTCGAAGTAGTCAGTCAGGAAATATGTCCTCTTTTTTGCTTTTCAAAATATGGTAACCCTAACTTACCTCATCACTTGCCATACAACTGTCGCATAATCAGGTGTCCTAGGGTGTCCTAGCCATTGTCCAATGTATTTCCTCACATGGGGGTTCAAAGGCACCAACTACCAGTCTAGACACCTCTGGGGTCTTTCTTGTTGGTCACCAAACCATTTCTAGGCCCTCTGTTAAACAAATGGGAGATCCAGTGATCTGTCCTCCTTATGGTCAGGCTCTGCTCCTCCTTTTGGCTCTCTAGCCAGGAGCTTCCTGAACCACATGCAGCCTGGCAGACACTGTATATGCTCCCCCTGCTCAGCATGATGGCATCATTACATTCTTTCAAAGATCACACCACTTCTGGGTTCTGCTGAGTCACTTTTTGTGAGGCTTCCAGGGGTCAGCCCAGACTTCAGCTTTGCTGCCACAGCCCCCCATCTCATGCGTTGAAAACAATACCCATAATTTGATCAGATGTTTGGCATAGAAGTGCTGGCGACAGGAGTCTGAAGCCAGTTTACTACTGCTCCCACTCCTGAAAAGCATATTGGCAAGAATGTTGAAGTATTACATACATACATCCAGGGCTCTAGTCGGGGGGGAGCTCTCAGGTACGGAGCTCCGGAAGAGAACCTCTAGGGGGCGGGGTGGTCATGTGGTGAAGCCCCGCCCCCTTCTTTACCCCGCCCTCTGCTTCGATCCGGTGATGTCAGGGGGTGTGGCCTTCTGTCACTTCCGGTGATGTCAGGGGGCGTGGCATATGCAAATAAGTTATGCTAATGAGTTATGCTAATGAGCTCCGGCAGCTCTTTTTCTACAACAAGACCCCTGCATACATCTCCTGATACTGGATGGGAAGGGAGCTATGTGCGGAGCATCTATTTGCATGAAAAAGTCACCATCCATTTTGGGATATACATGCAGAAACATGCTGCCATATGCCTGAAGGCCCTTGCTGTATTGAGGATAATGCTTTGATATTGGCAATTAGCAAGCAGCAATTTCTAACATCTGCCTCTTAGCAGACAAATAGAGTTTGCAGCAAAGGTGTGTGTAATGATTCCATGTTTTGGTGTGTGTGTGTGTGTACTGTAGTACTGTAAAAAGAGTGATAGAGGGAGATGAGTGTGCTGTGATTGGCTGATGACTGAGAGTGTGGGAGGAGATGTTCTGAGAGGAATCTGTGTGTGTTTTATGAGAGAGTTCTGTGTATGTGTCTTTGGAAAGTGAAGTGTGGAAGAGTTATGAAGAGAGTCTGTGTGACTCTAAAGGTTTTGTGAGAGAGTCTGTATGGCAAAGAAACAAGTAGTGTCTAAACGGTGTGGTTAGCCAAATGTTTTATCTTGTGTGCCTAAGACAAAGAGCTTAGCCAGTGTGGCTACATATATGAGAGAGAGATGCCTGTCAGCGTGGAATTTTAGTGTCTGAGAGACTGTGTGTGACACCTTGCCAGTTATATTTACAAGTTCCTTTTTCCAGAAACAGTTCAAGATAACCAGAAACCTATTTTGTTCTTTATTCAATAAATCAATTTTTGTTTAAACATATCCCAGAAATCAGTACAGTCTTTCCTCTGGGCCACATAGTCCTCTGAAGTGCCCAGACCCTGGGTCATACTACCAAAAGAGAGAGAATTGAATTTTTTAATTCCTGGTGGCAGCAGAAAACTACCAAGTGTATATACACAGAGGGTGATTTAAAGGAAAAGCAGTCTCCCCCAAATAGTAAGGATGCCACAGTGTGCCTGATCAGAGAGAAACAGTCACTGTAGCACTCAACACTGTGAAACTCAACACATTATCCATCTATACATTATCCATCTATTTGCATTATCCATCTATACAGACCTAATGAAACTAAAGCGAACAGCAAGTGAAAAGAGAAAAATAGGAGCAGAAAAGAGAAGCGAAGCACTGATATCTCGACAAGCTCCTGGACTGTGCTTTGACTTCCATCCAATGGTAAATTTATCTTTGCTAATATTCTAGTTCACACCAGCTGGCCTGACATTTTTTTCAGGGTTTGTAAGACATCATGCCTATGATAGCAAACTGATTGGTCCTGGGCAGCTAGGTAGTTATCTATCACCCTATCTACCTACCTACAGGTATATGGTACATCTATCTACCTACAGCAAGAGAGATTTTATATTCTTCCTTTTCTGTTCTACTTATTTGTTTATCCAAAACATGTTTTAATCTAAATATAAGATTTAATATCTTATCTCCAAAAATAGCCACATCTCTTCAGACTCAAGGCAGCTAAAAGAGTAGCAAGAGCTGCAAGCGCAAGGAAACTTCAGAAGCATCCATCAACAAGATAAAAACAATGCACAGTTAAAAATGAAGATAAAAAGAGCTTACCCTCCACCAAATGCCCTTTGGAACAAAACCCTCTAACATCTCTTCCTGAATGCAGCCAGATGAGCAGCCACTCCAGTAGGCTATTCTGGAGAAATGGACCTACCATAGCAAAAGCCCATGACCTAACTTCTGCCATATAGACAATCCTAGGAAAAGGCACCATAAAGGGAAGACTGCCTGAATAGCATAACTGAAACATGGGAATATACTCAGTGATGTGGCACAGTAACTATGAGGGCCCCAGGCCATGAAGGGCTTTAAAGGTGATAACCAGTACTTTCAATTGAGCTCAGAATCAAATCAGTAACCAGTGCAGTAGACACAGTACTGTGTTACATCTTCTAAGGAGCTGACCCTAGATAGTCTCACTGTCACATTTGTACCCATTAAAGCTTATGAGATGTCTTTAGAAGCAGCCTCACATAGAACATATTACAATTGTCCAATCTGAAAGGTACAATAGCATAGATCAGTGTGGCTAGGTTGGCAGAGTCAAGTTAAAGGACCAGATCATGAGCTAGATGTAATTGAAAGAAGATGCTCGCCTGGCTCTTTTTGTAGCAGGAACTCCTTTGTATATTAGGCCACGCACCCCTAATGTAGCCAATCCTCCAAGAGCTTACAGAGCTCTTCTTACAGGAGCTATTGTAAGCTCTTGGAGGATTGGCTACATTAGGGGTGTGTCGCCTAATATGCAAATGAGTACCTACTACAAAAAGAGCCCTGGCTGCTCCTGAAAACAACACTGACCTGTTTATCCATTGACAAGGCCAATGTATATTAATGTATACTTTGAGTTTCCCTCCATTAAAATCTTGGCATTCCACAAAGAACAGAGCAAACTTGCACCTGCAGTGAACATTCTCAAGATGATGCCCAATACTGAATAAATTAAAGCTGTTGATTTTATTTCAGGACACCAATACGTACCTTGCTGGAACTGAAGAAGGCTATATTCACAAATGCTCTTGCTCTTATAATGAGCAGTACCTGGAAACTTATAGAGGACACAAAGTGAGTAAAATTTAACAAGATTTGGTCAGATAGATATCTCTCACACACGTACACAAAACACACGAAAGGTACCCTTTACATATTTCCTGACATTTCTGAGAGATGCTTAAGAATATAAGACCCCAGCTGGATTAGACTAGCGGTCCATCCAGCCCAGCATACTCTCACAGCAGCCAATCAGCTGCTGTCATGGACCAGAGTGCAGACAAAGAAATACTAGTCAACTTCTGGAAGGATGGTCTTAAATTTCCACCTCCTTGTAAGAGAAGCAGTTCACCCTCAGCCTCTGTTAGAACATTTTTTTAAAATTTATTTATTATCAAATTTATACCCCACCCTCCCAGCCAAGGCCGGCTCAGGGCGGCTTACAGAAGGAGTAAAAACAATAGGTAATTTAAATAATCTTAAAACCATATAAAACAATTTCAACATTAAAAGGTGCTAGCAAATGATAACACCAATAAGTTATTAGAAGGTTAACAGATTAAATTAAAATTAGGATGGCGGTCAACCTTCAGTATACCATCCTAGTGGTTGACCCAGATCTAACATTGTGCAGCTGGCACAGGCTGTTTTGATGACTTTAGGGAACATGGTTCTCCCTCGGAGCGGCTCCTAATTGAAAGCTTGGTGGAAGAGCTCTGTCTTGCAGGCCCTGCAGAACTGCATAAGGTCCCACAGGGTCCTGATCTCTTCTGGGAAATCATTCCACCAGAGAGAAGCTTCCACCAAGAAATTTATAAACTTCTTTCATGTCCCCTCTTAGCCCACTTTCTTTCTAGACTGAAAGTCTCAGACTCTCCAGCCTTTCCTCTTAGGAAAGGTGCTCCAGCAAATTTAGCCTTGATCATCTTGGTTGCCTTCTTCTGTAGTCTTTCCAGCTCTACAATACCTTTTTTGAGACATGGCTACCAGAACTAAACAGAGTATTCCTAATTATGCTGCATCATATCTTTATATTAGGGCATTATAATTTTTGTTATTTTATTTTCAATCTCCTTCCTGTTAATCTCTAGCATGGAGTTTGCCTTTTTCACATGGCTGCACAGTGAACATCTTCAGCAAAGTCACAAGATCTCTTTCTTAGCCAGTTCTGACCCCATCGGCATATATTTAAAATTAGGACTTTTTGTTCCAATGTCCATCACCTTACGCTTTCCCAGGCTGAATTTTGTTTGCCTCATGGTTGTGCACTCATACAACTTAGAGATCCTCTCTCTTCAAAGTCTGCTTTGACGTTTACCATCCTCAATATCATCTACAAACTTGGCTACTATACTGCAAACCCTCAATTTCCATTAATTTATTAAGAAATTAAATAGCACCACTGTCAATACTGATCCCTGTGGGATCTGCACTGCTCATTTCCCCCTATTGCAAGAACTGTACATTTATTACTGCTTATTGTTTCCTGACATTTAGCCAATTTTTTATCCATAGGTCCTGTCCTCTTACACCATGATTGCTAAGCTTACTTAGAATTTTTTGATGAGGTACCTTGACAAAAGTCAAGTATATAATGGCCAACTATATCATATCCACCAGATAACCTTTAGCCACATGTTAACCTGCTCATAGAGTTCCAAATGGTAGGCAAGGCAGCACTTCCTTTGCAGAAACCGTGCTGATTTCCCCTCAGTAGGCTTTGTTCCTCAACATGCTTAATTATCATAGATCAGAGTATGGACTCCTCTCTGTTAGGCAAAGAGACCAAAGACTTAAAGGAGGAGGCAACTAGATACCTAACACCATGCAAAAGGAGGCATTGAGATACCTCCAGGAGCCTCCTTGGATGTGCAGGAAGAGCCCCAAGACTTTGAGTCAGCCTTCTTATCCTGGGATACAGCCTTGCACTCT